GGGGGGGGGGGGGGGTGCGCATGGATCACTCAGCCCTTCATGACATCCACAGCGCCCACTCCGAAGGACCCCCAGGAGTCATCCCTCACGGAGAAGCGACTGGAGGAACTCCTCGCCAAGCGGGCGGCGGTGGTATCCGGGGGGGCACCGCAGGATCGAAACATTCAGGCGAGGAGACAGACGTCTTGTGTGCATGTAGCGAGCGGTAGGGGGTTGTGTGCCGGTGGGAGGCGTACTGATGTTTTGGACCGTTGACCACCCACGACCTCGAGAGGTGAGAGACAGTCGTCTACGTGTGTGTCGCTACTTGTCAAGAGAGCGCGTGCAAAGCGTGCAAGCACGGTGAGGGAATGCGTAACGGTTGAGAGGACGGGGGGAGCATGGCGTCGCGTATTCATGGTTTGCACCCCTTGGCTGTTTGGATTAAATACATGTTGACCACACACGTCCTCGAGAGGACTGAGCCGGAGGGGGGATAGCTGAACAAGGGGGCGAGTGGGGAGAGACCCCTACTTCCGTGGTGCCGTCGAGGCGTTGTTGACCTGACCAGGGTGACAAGCGAGGGCTTCGTTTTGTTTCTGGCGGAGTGTGCCCTTCCAACAGCAGTACCTACAAACACAATACTGTGCGTATCAGAAATGCGTTCGCGCACGGGATTGGTGTGCCAGAACCTTGATGGTGCCGTTCGGTTTTCCGCGCATGTGTCGCGAGTTGTGTCGCATGCGCGCATACGTGCGTAGGCAGGGCGAGGGACGAACTGTTTTTTTCAATGAATCGCACCCCTTACGGCATGCGAAACCTGAAAAATAGATTCTCTCGAGATTCCTCGTGTTTTTTTTGCGCAGACTGCCTGTGGGACCATCATTCCGGCTGCTGTTTCGTGTACATATTCCATTCCCCGTCCGTCCCGTCCCAGGGCGCCTACCCCCATGTTTTTTATTCTCCTCTGCGGTCACCCCCCCCCCTCAGGTAACCTTGCCCAGCCAGGCGGCAGCGGCGGCGGCAGCGGCGGCGGCGGGAGGCTTCTCCGTCGGCGCGGCAGGAAGAGAAAGAGACGGGAGTTCAGGGATGGGAGGCGGTGGTGACGGGGAGAGGGGAGACGGGGGTCTTCTGGCGAAGAAGGTGGCGCGGCAGATCGCGGAGAGGAAGAAGCAGGACGAGGTCCCCTTCCAGACAAAGGCCATGAGGGATATCGAGCGACTGCAGAAGTCGACCGTGTACCGGACCACCGTTATCAAGGTACTGTAGGGATTGTGAGAAAAAGGGGTTCGTTTTTTTTCTGTGTTGAAGACAATGATTTCGTCTTGAGAGGACCAAGTACATGGCGGTGTCTCTCGACATGTTGTTTCTGCGCGTGAGTGCGGTTAGAACCGGGGGTGTCCAATCCCTTAGAGTAGTAGTGGAAGCTGAGAGATTGCATGCCAAGGAAAGTATAGCCGGAGGGGTTCGTGTATGTTCCATGTATTCACAAAACTAAACATACTTTGCAGGAACGAGTACATCGCGGTGTCTCTCGACGTCCTGCTGGAGTAGGACATGTCTCGCCCGTCGTGGGCGTTTTTTTTTTGTCCTCTGCTTGTTTGTTCATCTCGATCGATTGCGCGGCCTCTCTCTTTCTCCCTCTCTCTGTGTCGTCCTCTGGGCGCTGCAAACAATCGAAGTCATACCCGCCTTTCTTTGTTTCTGCTCTCTTTTACCGCGGGTCCGGTTCCCCTGTTGCCGCTGCAAATATTCAGAGTCTGACCCCCCCCCACGGCTTTGTTATCGTATACCGCAGGTTCGGTGCCCTCTGGCCGCTGCAAACAATCGAAGTCTGACGCCCCCCCCCCCCCCCCCCCCCCCCCCCCCCCCCCCCCCCCCCCCCCCCCCCCC